AGAGTATAGCACAGGTGAGCACAGCTCTGGCACCTTATTCCTGAAGCAGCCCCCCTACTCACGCCTGGCCCTAAAAGCAGGAATGTCAGCCCATCTTATGGGGCAGAGTTCATCATGGGACATTGTGCCTTGATGAGGTGGAAGGGGACACCTCTTCCCTTCAAGTGGTGCACTCTGCATGTACAAAGACTATTCTGCATATGAAATACGTCCCACTCGCTTTCCCTCGCCCATGATGAAACACAGGGCTGTGTCCCTCTATCTACAGCACTACCAAGGAGGAGCCATCAGAATCTCCTAATTACTCCTGGTGCCTTCAGATGTGTAGTTAAGGAGTGCTATAAAAATTGGTTCTGGCGTCTTTGACAGGAAATGAGCCAATTAACTCATCCCTTGGTACTGCTTAAGCCTTGTAAGGACAGAGGTCATTGGAAGTAGAATTATTTCTTTAAAACATACCCCATTTTCCCTCAGGAACTACATTTATGATATGATTTTTTTAAAGATATGACAGGTATATATGGGCAAAGTCCACAGTTTACCTGGTTAATTATTATTTTATACATATGGCCCCAATTGATGACTTACTGATGAGTATAACTGGTCATTATATTTGCTTGTACGCATCCCCCAGGATTCCCCAGAATCCCCTAGGACTCCCTAACTGCAGACCCACCTGCAAGTGCATTTAAGGAGGCTATAAACTTCAGGAGGCCTATGAATAAACATTATGTTAAGGATAAAATACAGGAAGTTTAAGCCAAATGTCAAAATAAGGCAGTCCATAAGTTCTGCGTGCGATTTCGGAAGCTACAGAGTGCTGTCAGTCTTTGGGTAACGACATGCAAAACCAAGATCTGTCTCCAAACAAAACAGGACATTCCATTTGTCACACGTGCTGTATGTATAAGTGTGAGATTAACCTGCTCTACATTAACCAGCAAAAAATCCATTGTGGGCCTTGTATGACAAACAAATAGCTTAGAAGATATCAAGCTTTTTTTAATTCCTTAAAGTCATTTTAGGTAATGAAATAAATATGTCCTCGCTCTGTGCTCCTGGGAGAGGGTACTCATACATATTTGAACAGTATGTCTGCAGCGGGGGGGGGTCTCATTGTGGCAGCCTGCAGACGTCCAATCAGGTGCAGTTTCCCCCTGCGGTTGCAGACAGGATGATTTCATAAATCATTCTGAGCGGGGAAGCAGACGATCACGCTAGCTGGAATATTTCTGACTGGAGGAATTACAGGGAAATGCCACATTCTTCAGCATATTGTAAAGAAATTTACGTGCCCATATCTACTGTATATTTCTTTAAACAAAATGGGAAAAAAACATCTCATTATAGTGAGTTAAAAATTTGTGCTCACTGTTTAAGGCACAATGGCAGTGGGTTATGAATCTACGACATCCTGGTTTCTGCTCGCTGTTTAATCACAAAAACTGGAGGATCCCATTTCTGTTAGCCTGTGCTTTTTCTACTCATCCTGACACTGTCAGAAATGGCCACTTTCTCAGACATGACACGCGTAAGTCCCACGATGGCTGACATCCCCACAAAACAATCCCTCTGACAGGTAGTCTGATGGCATGCAAATGCATTTGGCAGCCAGTGTGGCTGGGATGTTAAGCCATAACCTTTCATTAGAAAATGTTCTGTTGATGGGGGAAGAGAGGCTCAATTAATTAATTGAGAGAAGCTGCCTAACAACAAGCCTTTTTTTGTAGTTTCACTTTAATTAGAAAATTATCAAGGCTACTTGGGGATTTATGTGAAATATCCTCTCAGGATATTTATGCCGTCTGGGTGCCTTTTAAGTACGACCTGACAACTAAACAGACATCGACATCTTTATATCCACTGGGCCAGCTACAAGTGAGGCCCCTTTAAATGCAAAACCAAGGCAGGTAGCGTTTCAGGGTAAGACTGGGACAGAGCAGCCCATCTACACCAGATGTAATGTATCTTTCCAAAGCAATCACAGTCTGCTCTGGCTTTTTCTTATGCTAACTCTTCTGGTTTAGAAGGTCTTTGATCATTTCATTCATGCTTTTGGAGAAGAAGTACTGGAATTCAGCTGACCTCAAAAACATGCCACGTGTAAGGAACCATCTGAAACTTGGTGCTAATGTCGCAGGGGAGCTGAGACTTTGTTTTCAGTCTAACGGAGTGGAGGGACAGGCCTTCTCTGCTCTCCAACTGAATCGAATTTAGGCTGGAATTACCACCCGGCGATCTTGCTCCACTTTCCTCCTCTCCCCTCTTCACCTGCTGCCGTTAAATATTCATGGACAAGCCACTCTCCCCGGGCAAGAAAGGAAAAGTCTTGACAGCTTAATCATGGAGTCAGGGCTGTAGCCAGCCTAGCTCTTGGCTGCTGTCAGACTGGCCTACATGATGTAATAGTCTCTCTTTTGACACTGGGTAAAAAAAAAATTAAATCTTCAGAAGTGGAAGAGTGGCACCAGAACTTGAGGGGATACAGACATACTGCAGATCCTCTGGGTTATTGCTAGTTCAGGGCAGAGGCACAGTGCACCTTCACATTTATTATTTTTAGTTTTATTCAAGCAGTAGCTCATCGCACAGGATCGTCAACAAATATTTTAAGACTCTTCATATTTATAGATGCACCACAACTATTCCTCTGATTTTCAAGAGTAAGGAACTACTGAGACACTTTTTTTTTATATTCTGACAGCACAAAGCCTAAAGGAAGCATAGAGATGTTAGTCACATAAGACAATTCCGACATGAATGTGGCACACAGAGTGTCATTCGCTGCTGGTTGGCTGGATGGCTGGCTGGAGCTGCCCCCCCCCCCCCCCCCCCCCCCCCCCCCCCCCCCCCCCCCCCCCCCCCCCCCAACAGCAAGCGGCACTCTCCCTGCAATTAACCTCCAATAAACCTCTAATAGACGGACTCACAAACCCAGAGTTTAATACACATTATTGCATCTGTTATAAATGCTTATATTTGAAAAATATCTCCAAGTGGAATTATGAATAAATGAGCAGTTACCGCTTACTGCCTAAGAATCCTGCATGTTAAAACATCAAAAATCATAGTAGCCAGGTAATACTGCCCAAGGAACCAAAAGGCTGCGGCTTTAACTGTGACGCCACTGCACTACACACATGACCCAAATAACTGGTCATGAACATCCATTCGAAAAGGCTTCCCATGCACATTCACAGAACATATGCGTAATTCTGCAACAGCGAAAAAAACAGTACAAGACTGGCAGGAAAAAAAAACTAAACAAAATGATGGACTTCATAAGGTCTTCATAGAAGTTCATAAAGTCGGCATATCCTCCATTAACCAAGCCAGCCGCAGTCCCTATACTGGGTCTGCATGCATGAGCCTAGACTACAGCACCTTATCTTACAAGGGCTGCTATCAAGTCCTATTCAGTGAGTCCATAATTCAGTGAGTCAGTCATTTGCTCTCATAAAAGCCACATCGCAGAAACACTCAAAAATCCTCAGGTTCAACAACTGCATTGATTCACAAAACTGCAAATTTGTTATGTTGTGGACCAAGTGGACCAGAACACGAACTGTTCAAATTGTAAAAGTGATGCTCTGAGTGGCTGATGGAGGTGTGGTGTGGAGACGGAGCAGGGTGACAGGGAATATGTGTGTTAATCAGATGCTCCTGCCTTCTACTTTCTGCTAAAAGGTAAATATCAGTGTCGACTGTTTTGTTTAATCTACACTAACTGCCGCCCAGCCAGTGTTGCAGATACCATTTAGCACCAAAACATTAGTTCTAAGTTTGTTTAGATTTTGTGTCTGTTTCTTGAACCAAGCCCCTGGATTTCCTCTTTTTAGTGCATATTACATTGCACACAAACACAGTGCCACCCGTCCTTCTATCCCTGAAAAGTCAAACCTTTTAAACCGGCCCTTTTCTAAAGGAAAAATAATCTCTAAAAATGAAATGCATGTGAGCTGTCCAGAGCTTCAGCAATCAGCTACCTCCAATAATTCACTGATTGAATAATAAATATCATTTCATGACTGAACATGAAGGTCAGTCAGAACAAACAAAACCACACAGTTTATGACCCATTAAATTTGTGTCAGCCACAAGATGCCATGCTTCACTTTTATCGCCTTAATTGATGCACATCTTTGCACAGTGAAACGTTTAATGCTGTCTGTGTATATTTTGCCCCCTAGGGCACCAATTACTGCAGTTAATGTGGCAATTAAGGACACGAGCTTGTAGTCTGCGGTCCAAGGAGAGCTTGGAGAGGCAGCACTAAACCTGAATATTAATAACAACAATAAGAACAATAATATGACCAAGCCTCTACTGGATACACAGCTATGAAAGGAATAATAATAATAATAATGACATTGTGAGTACGGTTTAAGATCTGCTGACACAGACCTGCTTGGAGAATAGACTGATTTGATGCACTTTGCCCATGTCCACAATTTAAATTTTGTTTTTTATCAAAGCAGACCCATTTTCTCTGTTTTCTGTAATGTTAGTATGCCTGGGGTGGAGAGGGGGCAGCCAGCCAACCTTGGACCCCCAGATGTTGTCTTTCTCCCTACTCCAAAGTTTTTGGTTCATCTCCTTCATTGTCTTCTGGCATTCTTTCTTTCCTTCTTCCCATTTTCCCTGTTTCATGTATTATTCTGTATGAATGACGTAATAATGCATTACCATATACCCTTGCACAGCGCATTGGGGTAAAATGTGCAATATAAAAATAATCAGAATTATTATTATTATTATTATTATTATTATTGTTGTTGTTATTATTATTATTATTACAAGTCAGGGGACACCGAGAGTGGGATGCCAGTACATCACAGGGAACAAGGCTGGGGTACTTCATCATAGAGCAAAAATTCAATAGCAACACCAACCCACAATATACATCAGCTACAAAGCCAAGGCTACTGTGTGGAAATTCTGTGACAGGAGTAAACAAGAATAAAGTTGAAAAAAAGTCAAATAAAGTCATCCAAACTTACCCCATTGACGGGATACGTTCTCCAGCCCAGCTCACCCAGAGCAGTGGTGGTATCCAGCAACACAACTGCATGGAGAAAGATGAAAGTGACGAGGGGGCATTAAGTTATGTGAAAAACCAGCTGTGCACTTAGAGAGGCAGCAAAGTCAACTGACATTGTCTTCCACACGGCAGCACATTGCATTTACCGTTATTATAAATCCACATACAGAAGTTTCACATACAGTACACTTCAGAGTTTTTATATGTGGGTAATAAAATGTATGCACTGCAAGTGACTGCATTCACATATTAGGGACAGGCACTGCAGACAGAATAGCCAGCCAAATTTTGCCAGTCATTATTCGAATAATGTTTTGTTAACCCGCCTTCATCCCATCCCCGCCACACACAGCGAAACGTGCATGGAGCTTGATCAAAATATTTCTTCCCATACAAAATGAGATATTACTTCTTGCTACAAAAGGATAATGTAAAACATTAAAAAGTAGCTTGAATAAATTACACTGAAACTGAAATTAAATTAAACTGAAGAGATGGTTCAAGTGCAGTAGCATACATTAACGCTTAACAGCCTATGCCTTGGGCAGTTACTGCAAATGGCAATTTATTTTTAACAACACAATGATCACAAAACTTCTTTGGCTTATTTCCATAAAAAATTTGATATCACTCGTTGCTGCTAAAGGATTATTTAAAACATTAAAAGTAGCCTTGAAACTAGGGCTACTGGTACAATGAAAAATCACTTTTATTTATAATTATATTAAGAATAAATTTCACATAACATTAATTAAGAACATTTTAACAAGAACATTGACAAACTAAATGTACTTTTTTAAATACATTTATGCTGCTACAAAATTAGTTGCAGCAGCATAATCAGATTCTCTTACACTCATTGCCATGAGCTGTGCCAACAGACACAAGCAGTGCCGACAAATCATTTCTGTGGAATCCGAAATACTTCCATACAGTGAAAGACAAATGTCTTCTGGGGATCAGTTCATGTTCTCCTCACTCATTTTTGTTAAGTTTCTCACAAATGCGCCACACTAAGAGTGAGCAAGGATGAAAATGATTGTTACTGGCTGAGAAACCACATGCAGAGCTCAGGCAAAAACGGCGGAGGTAAACTTCAGAGTGAATATACTGCAAACTTATTAGAGAAAAGATAAATCACAACTAATTGTAGCTACAAAATAATAATTAAAATAGCTAATTTATTATTGGATTTAAAGATTTTTTTCTATTTTGTACACACTCTTGAATATTCTACAATATCGACTTATCCCTATCACGAACCCTAATTGCATCACATACTGCAGCATTTGCAAACTGGTCCTCAGAGACCCCTACAGTATATAGTTCACATTTTTGCTCTCCGGTACGGAGCTGGGAGGGAGCAAAAAAAGTGGACTGTCTAGGGGTCCCCAAGGACCAGGTTAAAAAACATTGATCTAACAGATAAGCACAGCCTTGACACAGCAGAACGCAGAAGAGAATCAAAATCCCACCAGTGTCTTCTTTGGGCTGAGGAGAACAAACATGGGATGATATGGGGGCATCGTCGGCAAGTGAAGGTTTATTGAAGAAAACTTTTCTCCTTTTCGGGGATATACAGGGCTGAACAATCATGGGACTGCCATCACATCAATGTAAAAACAATAAAAACCAAAATGTGCTGTCGAGTCCAAGGACAAAAGGAAAACGAAAGAAGCAGGTTTCAGTTACTGTATGGGTCTTGGGACTGGACAACATGCAAACCATTGAGATGTACAACCTGTACAGGGAATTGGAGGGAACATGCATGAAGTCCATCCTACAAAGGTCAGGCTTCCCCCTTTAGAGAGGTTCATGGCAGTAATAATAAAAATATGAAACTTTTTTCCCCCCGTTTTTCAAAGGAATATGTTCTTGAAACTATCCAGAGTACTGTTTATCAAGTTATCTGGAAAAAAACACTTCATACCTGTATATAACAGATTCGGAATGAGGAACTGGGTTTCTACCACTCAGAAATCCCAAACAAAAATGCCTGTAAAAACACTTGTCATTCGACTCCACTGACAGTTCCAAGAGAACCTGATGGATGTGCAGTTTCCTCTGTCTTTATGGACCAGGCTAATGATCCCTATCAATAAACTGTCACATTTCGGGGTTGCTAAAATCTATAGCAGTCGGGCATTCACAGGTAGCGGTTAGCCTCCATCCATAGGGACTTCATTAGCTGTACTTTTATATGGGTGAAAGGAAAAAAATATAATATACAAGAGGACAACAAACTCCACATGGATTACCCACAACAAGCACTAGCGAAGTTCACATCACCACACGAGCTGTTGCACCCCCCGCCGGTTCAGTCCGGGCCAGTGTAGCCGTTAACATACTACGTGCTATAGTATTACACCTTGTTCCTTTCCAGGATCCTTGAAATCGCTCGATGCCAGGCCAAACAGAGCAGCACATCAGTATCACTTTTTTCCTTGGATACCTTCACAGGGCATGTCTGATGCAGTGTCCCTTCCACCACGTGTACTGATGGCTTACTAACACCAGCTGGGAGGCCAGCCCGTCCCCCGATAGTGAGAACCTTTATTTCTGAAGTCGGCCCGCTAAGAATTTCCAGCATGAATAATTGAAGAGTACAAGCACTGAACTATCAACACAGAATGATAGGACACAGGTAAAAATGAAACCGAGACCGATCAAGCAATGCAGCTCATTGACCTTGCCGCAAAAATCAAGTATGCCACATCAACTAATTACATCTCCATCATCTGCCTGTGCATCCATTAGTTAAACCTTAATTTGTTAGTATAGCGTATCCATCCATCTATCCATAAAACTGAATATGAGGAAATGATTAGAAACGTGTTTCCAATAAAGTATATACACCGTGATTATACATCTTTTCAAATTAAGATTATGCAAGATTTACCCTCCCTCGACATGGCAATGTATAGAAATGGTATAATGTATTTCTGTCAAGGAGTATCACATGAATATTCTGTGAATCCATTGCAATTCTAATTTTGTAAGCTTTGATCTATGGGAAAGCAATTAGAAATCCAGGACACCTCATCAACTGCAATGTCTTGTGTGTGTGGGGGGGGGGGGGAGTGCCCATTTTACCATATTTGTGGGAACAAATCTGAAAGAGTGCCACAATTAGAGTTCTTTCATTGCATAAAAGTGACAATTATTGCAAAGTGAAAAGCAAGAAAAGACAGAAAAGCAAGCATATTTATGCACAAACACATAACAACGATCCAAAGATGTATTCATCAGCCCAATACAAGAAGTGTTGGAAAAAAATGACTGTGACAATAGCAGCATGCAGTGTACAGTGCAGAGAACAGAGAGCTCAGAGACTTCCTGCAGAAAGGAGGAGAGTCATTTTTAAATTGAATCTGAACACCACTAGGCAGCCAGAGTACCAGTAACTGATGAGCTCAAGCAGCTCACTCTTCTCCAGACAGAACTGGAAGACCACTTTGGCACCAAGAAACAAATCACATTATATCTGACTTGACTGCTGCTTAACCAGAGTGCAGAATTTCAATATTTTACATAATTTTCCCCACTAAACACACACACACACACACACACACACACACACACACACACACACATGTAGGGTAAACATATCCTTATGGGGACAGCTCATTCATTTCAATGGGAAAAATGCTAACGCTAACTATGACAACCTTAACCCCTACCCTGCCCTAACTCTAACCATAAATAACCTAACAAAATACAAGAGTTTTTGCATTTTTAGTTTTTTCATAGCAGTCACCGATTTTTATAAAATAGAGTTTTCCCTTATGGGGACCAGGAAACCGGTCCCCATAAGGGGAAAAAAATTATATTTATCACGTTATGGGGACATTGTGTCCCCATAAGGATAGGTAAACCCACTCACACACACACACAGACACACACACACACACACACACACTGCCCTAGTATGAAAATGAGTAACCAAAACTACATTATTATAAATCTCAGAGTTCATATAATGGTAAAAGCCCTGCATGAAATTCATGAACCGTTATAATTGATGATGAACAAACATGAGATCAGTACGTAACTAACACTGGTTAATTACATTAATACATTAAGCAAGAGTGTACTACTACAATCCTTGTGCCCCCTCAAGATTTCCATACAGCGGAAGACTAATGTCTAAGATAATTTCTTAGTTCTAAGCAATTTTCTTGTTCTCCAGTCTGGATCTGAGAAAGAACTTCTTCTCATAGTGTGTAATTAGTGTACAGAATAGTCTGTCCGATGGGGTAGTGCAAGCCAAAAACACTAGATTCCTTCAAATCTGAACTTCACAAGATCCTGCCAAATTAAAATCATTAGTTTAACTCCCTCCAAGCGAGCTTGATGGGCCAAATGGCCTCCTCTCGTTTTTTCCAGTATTATGCAGCCGTACTTTGCAGGTAATTCATAATTCCCCATTCTTATCATTATGACCTCTACCATGTGTTTCATTATTCAATAATTATAGAGCTTATTCAGGTCAAAATTTCATTGTGACACATTTCTTTTTTACTGCTCTATGAAGGTCCATCGATCTTCTATGCCCACTTGTCCTATGTATGATCATGAGGGTCTGGAATCTATCCTGGGAATTACACATGCAAGGCAGGGAATAACCCAGGACAAGGCGCCAACCCATCATAGGGCACACACATCATTCATTCAAACCTACAATCTATTTAGTAACTTCAAATCACCTTAATATGTTTTTGAATTGTGGGGGGAAAAAACACAGAACCTGGAGGAAACTCAGCGAGGACACAGGAAGAACATACAAACTTCATACATAGACCCAGGGGGAGACTCGAACCAACCCCAGTCCAAGATATGTGAGGCAACAATGCTAAACCTGTCTCGGGATTAAAGCACCCAGCTGCGAAGGTGTGAGGTAGCGGTGCTTCCTATTGTGCCCACAGCTTACATTAAGCATTGCGGAAAAATAACAGCAGAGCGCACCCCAAAATCTGACAATGAACCCTGTAAATGTGAACATTTATCAGATTTTCGGCATTACA